GCTCAAGTGAGCTTTTCTGATCACATTTTGTCCGTCGTCCGTCTGTCCATCCGTCTGTAAACTTTTCACATTTTCGACTTCCTCTCAAGAACCACTGAGCCAATTTTGACCAAACTTGGTACAAAGCATCCATAAGTGAAAGGGAATTTAAATTTTAAATATGAAGGGCCAATTCCCCTCACAAGGGGAGATAATCAAGAAAAGACAAAAATAGGGTGGGGTCATTAAAAAATCTTCTCAAGAACCACTGGGCCAGAAAAGCTGAAACTTATGTGGAAGCATTCTGGGGTAGTGTAGATTCTAAATTGTTCAAATCATGATCCCCGGGGGTTGAGCGGGTCCACAATGGGGAATCCAAGTTTTACATAGAAATATATAGGAAAAATCTTCTTCTTCTCAAGAACCACTTGGCCAGAAAAGCTGAAACTTATGTGGAAGCATCTTGGGGTAGTGTAGATTCTAAATTGTTCAAATCATGATCCCCGGGATTGGGCGGGGCAACAATGGGGAATCCAAGTTTTACATAGAAATATATAGGAAAAATCTTTAACAATCTTCTTCTCAAGAACCACTGGGCCAGAAAAGCTGAAACTTATGTGGAAGCATCCTGGGGTAGTGTAGATTTCAAATTGTCTAAAGGTGGGGTCGCAATGTGTATTACAAGGGGAAAATCTGGTAAAGAACAGAATGGTCAAAGCTTCTCAGGTGAGCGATGTGGCCCATGGGCCTCTTGTTTTTTAAATTATTTAAAATCTATTTTATTTCATAAAACACTTTTAAAATTTTGAAAGTAAAATCAAGCACTGTTCATAGATAAAACCAATAGTCTTCAAATTCTTCTGATTAGAATTCAGATTGAAATTGTACTTCATCACATAGGGATTGAGTGAATTCTGTTCATTGGAACTCATATTCCGCACCATATCTGGATGATTCAATATGTAGCGGTAATGAGTTGTTTTTGGCCAAAAAAATGAAGCGGTAATAATCGGTCAAAAATTCAAAAAAATGTAGTGGTAATGAGTTGAAATTTTTGGTGTTGTTAGGGTAATGTTGACCTCCCAATTTTAGAATATCTTTTTAAGGAAAATCAAATAAAAATCTAAGGCAAAGGCGGAGTCATTTTCATTTCTGGTGGTCAGAGTGGTTCGATCGCTGATGGCCATCTAGTCCCTGGATTAGGGAGTCAGGTTTCGAATCTTGGTCTGGTCTATATTGCATTTTTCTCCTCTCCTATTACACATGAAATCTTTCAAAATAAATTCATTTAATGAATAATAATATAGTCAGTACAAGTGAATTTTGTCAGTGCATGTCTTTAGGTTGTAAACTTAATTAAGACTTTTTTTATTTTTGTAGATCCCGAGGATGTGGAGTATGAAGACGTGGTAAGTGTTGGCGATTTATGTTGTGTCAAGGGAAATAACTCTTACTCAATCTGAGGGACAGTAGATTCAAAGTCTTTTAAAAAGAGTCATAACTCCTTTAGTCCTGTAGAATATTTAAAGGTTATGTGCAGTTCATGGTTCACTAAGGAATATTTCTCCTGGCTGTTTAAAGATTTTATTCGACATTTTATGAGGATGTATATTGTACCAGTAATTCAGAGATATGAAAGATGTGCATTTTCCTGTAAATTTATATGTTATAAAAGTCTAAGTGTTATTTGTAAAATTTTACTTATTTGTTAATAGAAAAAACATGCAAATAATGTGGTAAGTTAGACAAAGATGTTTCTGAACTACTCCAACACATTTACCCACAAAATTAATCACAAAAAAAAAAAAACTGTGAGTTATGTTTTTTTAAAAGCACTTTGAGGGTGAGCCATGACAGAGTGCATTATCTCCCATCCCTATTTAAATTCAGATCCTATTAGCATTCTTTGCAGTCCTTTCACTTGTCCTTTTAACAAATGAAATATGTTCATGGAAAGTGATTCTCCCATTTTTCACCAGTTCCCTTTGAATGTATTAAACTATTTGTTTTAATGTCATAACCATGTTCTTTCCTGAATTTCCACAGCAAATTTTTCTCCCCTCACATAATGCCTCTGAGTCGTCTTTAAAAAGTTGATAATCCATTCTTATTTGGATTATCTCACTATCCTCCAGGATTCTTTCATATAAAGTCAAGATAAAAAGAATCTGGGTCCTTTATGCATAAGTGTGTGCATGCGTCGTGTAAATGGTACAAATGTGAACTGGTCAGTAGGTACAATTACGGTAATAAGCCACTAATCTTCATTACACCTTAAGGCTGGCTTTTTTCAGCTTATTACACTGTTGTCTTTCAAGGTTTTAAATTAGATTTTTATTTTAGTTGCATTAAGGAATCCAGTATGCAAACAAAAGATTACCATGATTGGATTAAATGTTAGGTGTTTTGTGTAGCGGCCCTCCTTCCAGTAACTATTGTTGAAGTCGATCATGCATCTTGATTCTCCGATTATTAGATGGTTATCGTTTGAATTTAACAAGGGGGTCAGGATTTTGTTGACCTGACAATAAGAATCTGTCGGCTGGTCACACAAGATCATTTATTTGTTGGAACGTGGTGCCAAATTTTGTATCAATGCTGGGCCGTAATTTGTTTGAGAAGCATGTAGATGGAACTGCCCTAAAAGACCTTAGGACTGGTGGCTATGACTTCAAGGTAACTAAATAGTTTGTTAGGTATGTTTGCTGGTGGCCCGAAATGACGTGTGAAGTACTTGTAATATATTGCCAACTGCCTCTCATAAGTAAATATATGTATTGTTGTGGTTCTTAGTATATTTATTGTTTATTTGGATGAAGAGGAGAGGAAGTTAGTCCAGCAACCATTATTGAAAGTTGAAAGTGTCTCCTTATTTTGGAATCTTTCATAATGAAGGAGTAGGACTATATTGATTATACAGTAAAATGCATTCTTCTTAGAAAATCTTTTTCTCTGCTTGTGAGTATTAAGCAGATAAACTAAGTGCACAAACATGATAAGCAAGGGTGCTTCTTCCAAAATTATTGATCTCATAGCTCGTGTGTCAGGGACACTGGAAGGTGCTAGGATGGAACTGTTTTGAATGTACCTGTGTAGTGAAAATCATTATTTCTTTGCTGCTCTGTTTTGGGGCATCTAATTAATTGTAATTTAAAGGTCATTTAAAAAAGAGATTTATGCAAGAATTTTAAAATATTTTTTTTCGATTGGGATGACAAATAAAGAAATGCTATACAAAAATACCCTCCTAATCTTTGTACATTAAATGTTCTTCAAAGACCTGGTGATGCCAGTGTGAGAGGGAATGAAATGGGTTTTAACTTTACTAAAAGTGCTATTATAATCTGTATTTTTTGGTTAAGTTTATATTGTCAAATTTGGCAAGTACAGGCAAGTGAATTAAGTGTAGATTTACTTCAGGATTTATAACAGAATACTAGATTAATTAATTTTTGAACCTGTATTATCCTATTTCTCTTGCTGTTGAGCAATGTAGATTTATATATCAGGATCCTGGATTTTTGCCCCCCCCCCCAAAAAAAAACCCAATCAACCAAACAAACTTTTTAGTAAGTGAATGGATAAGTATTGACCTTTTGACAGCACTTGACTTAATTACCAGTGTAGCATAATATTTTGATACTAGAATATAATGAATATATTGGAAAATATTGAACCCTTCGGGTTCATAATATTATGGCTAAATATTGACCCCAGGTTCAAGATATTGTGGCCATAAAATATTGAGTCCTCCTACCCTTTTTATTTAAGAGGGAGTGGGTTCAGAATATTATAGCCATAAAATCTCGAGTCCCTATGCCCTCTTAATTTGATAGGGAGGGGGGGTTGAAAATATTATGGCCATAAAATATTGATTCCCCCTACCCTTTTATTGTATTTCTTTTATTAAACATGAAGATTTCTTGGGAAGGATTAAATTTCTGTTTTACTGGACATGGTTAAAATGAGTAAAATTTGCTGTGTTTTTGAGAATTTTTCTTATTTTTACATCTTTGAAAATATCTAAAACTCTTATTTGAACTTCTGTTGCATATTAAAAGTTACAGATATCTCAAGTTTTTTAGTTTAATCTTGGTATATTTTTGCCAATAGTTACATGGTTATGTTTAACACTATGCTTTAAACTGAGTTTAATAGCCACCAGTGATGTAATATTTCTGATCATTTCACAAAATGTTTCTTTGTTTGGGGGATTTATATGCTCGATAACCAAAAGTCAAATTTTATTGTATCCAATGCTCTGCCTGCTAATAAGCAACTTTAGGAATTTATAATGATGGTGTTATCTTTATTGTCTACACAAACAGGTTTATATTGGTATTTCTATGAAGTATAGAAGATAACTTAGTGATTTACTAACTCATAGTACATGTAGCTACTCCATTTCTGCTTAATTGTTTTCTTTTTAGCTTGAAAATATAAAATAAAGTTGTATCATATTTATTGAAATAATTATTTTACCTGAGAAAAAAAAAATGCAGTTTGCATTTCAATATTATGGACAAAAATTGATTATTGATGCACAATGTGCTATCAGTTTTTCTGGGAGATAATTGTGAAAACAGACAAATGAATATTCTGTTTGCAAGATCACCTGCTAAGGTCATGCAACTTCATTGCTATTACAATGATAATGGTACTTAGTACAGTAGCTCAAATGATTTATTTGATAAGATAAAAAAAATAAATCCTAAAATAATTGGTGAGTGATGCATAATTTACTAGATTTATTATCCCACGGCATTAAAAACTCGTATCGCAGAATAACTTGGACTGTGCAAACTTGTAGTAAAGTACATAAACTAATGCAGATTGGTTAAGTAAACATGCAATATTGATCAAAAGCCAAAGTTTTATATAATCCGCAGGTCTACCACATGTTAATTATTACTTACCCATTTCACAAAGTAAAGCAGATGCAGAGGATTTAAATTTTCTCTTAATCATATTGCACAAGTTAAAAAAAAAGCCAACGTCAAGTTCAAATTCATATTCTTCCCATTGAAATGGCTTTAATCAAATAGACTTTAAAGTAAAATCCAAATAGTTTACATTTGATAATCCTACCATTTAAAGGTGGGATATTTGGCTGGTGGATTTATTACAATTACTTATTGGCAGAAGTAACAAGGCTTTTGTGGGGAATTATGGGACTTTTACTAAATGTACCAAGACCATTCGATTTGTCAACACAAGGATCTAGCTAACCGGGCATTGGCAACCATGTGCCTGTGAAAATTTTTTAAACTTGCAATGAGGAAATATGATAGAAAATCATTGATCTGAATTGATATGGGACATTTTCACTTTTGACATTTTTGTAAACTTTGGACTTAATGGAAATGGAGGCGGTTATAACAGTTGTCTTAAAAACCTTGGTAAGTGGTGGAAAACTTTTTAAAGTTTATGTTGTCTGTCTTAGGAACCATTGTAAATATTGTGTTTCTATCAATCTGAAAATCAATGCTTAATTTGATTACTAAATTCCTGAAACATTTAAATAATTTAGTGTACATAAATATGGTAAACCTAAAATTTACTTGTATGTAATTAATGGTGTGCAGTGTAGCAAGATGCATAAATAAAATTAATTGAACATGTGGTATACATGTAATACATAAAATCAGAAATTAATTATTTTTAAAAAATTTAATTATTTGGTTATAAAAAGACATCATTTTGATTAAAACTACCAAGGAGTTAAAAAAGGCCCAAGTTTGCTTCGTTTTTTTTTCCTTCAATGTAACAGTCTGTAAAGTAAAATTTAATGGAAACTTTAACGACACATTTAAAATTCACTTTTAAATTTATTCAAGAAAGGTGCCCCAACACGATCCTTATTTAATGCGTGCACATTCCCCCCAACTTCTGTAAATGTATTTTACATTAGTCTATGAGATCACAGACCACTTCATTTGACAAATGTTTGAAATCGTCAACATTGTTTACAGAGATATATGTAGTTAAGAACCCATTCGAGATTTACTGCCAGACGGGTGTTTGACTAAAGGTAGCTAGCGCGATCTGATCAAATCCTTCTATTTAACTCTTGTGACATGCTCTTGGAATCTCCCAGGAAATCATAGATTTTGTCATGCAGACCTAATCCCACACCCGCTTTTGAGACCCTTTTGCAATGACACTGCCTTGTGATTTCTTCTCTTGAAATGTCACTTATGGTACTTTATCTTTATTGAATAAAACTTCAGCATGGATGATAAGGTTCAGAAAATAAAACTTTAGTATCTTTGAGAATTATGTGCCTTTTTACATCCCTTCTATCCTTTCTATTTTATAGTTATACATGTATTCATTGCCTTTGACTTTGCTTTCCATATTGAGCTCCATTGAAACTCATTTCAGCAAGCCATTTTAGTTTGATCTGCAGGCATAAAAATTATGAAATTTCTATACACACTATGAATCCATCTGAAGTCCTCAAGATCTTGCAGGATCAATTAAATACTATAGTTGATATATTAAAAAAAATTCCTTACAGTCATCAAAAGAACTCTAAATGTTCAAGTACAGTTGTACTTGGATATCTCAAACAGCTGGTCGAACACAAGGAAAAAATTGAAGTGAGTCTTTGTGGACCCCTCTACACTTTGAGTCTGAGTTACCTAGGCCACCCAAATTTCTCTCTTTTTTAAAGTCTCACTGAGTTCTAGATATTGAGGTTTCACTGTATTTTTTGAAAGAGACAATTCAAATTTTTAAACCCTTCAATCTGACAATAACAACCAAGAAGAAGTTCTTGGAAAAGCTCGTGTAAATAAAAAGTTGCATACATAGTTAATACACGAGTTTTGAAATATCATTAGCAGTATGTCGAATAAAATATTCAGGAGAAATTTTGGGCTCAATTATTTTTTTTGTTTATATACTATATCGGTATTAATTTCTATGTATTTTTATTTCAGGAGGACTTTCTGGCTACGGATGATTTGTTTGTAGACTATTTCAATGCCTACCTGTCATTACCGGTAAGTATTTAACAAAGACAATCATAAACCCAGTCTTCCATGAAGTTGAATAAACTTCATACAATTCCAAAGAAAGCACTAAGTATTTAACTTTCCTGCTAAACAAAGCATTTTATGAAGTGTCAGTATAACTTAACAGCTTATGGTTGTAATCAGAAAATTGTAAGGAAATTAAAAGGAAGCTTTAAGCCACAAATTAGGATAGGATTCTCAATAAAATTTTTAAGGGAAAAAACCCAAAGATTCAAAGGTTAATTGTTTGGAGTACATGTTGCCATCCAAAATCCCCTCTCCAAGTGTTTTCGATTTCTTTCAAAGACTTTAAAATTTTTACTTTGACATTCAGATATTCTGAAATATGTACTGGACTGATAAAGACAAATCACTTTCAAAGAATACATGAAAACTACTGAGAAAGTAAATGAACAAAGAACAATGATTAATAACTTGGAAGAGTGTATCATTAATGCTGTATTTACCTCAATACTAAGGTGTGAGCCTGTATCCAATTATGCGAGACAGGTTAAAACTGAAAAGTTGACAGCTAATTAGTCCTAATATAATTAATCTAGTATGTTTTAATGATTGAAACAATCAATGCACTTGTTATTTCTGTAAAGTAGATTTAATAGGATTATATGGTATTAAGCAAGATGCCAACTTCAAAAGACTGGATCTTAGAAATTCTCTGGGAATATATTTCATTGAAATGCTAAATTGCTAATTTACTTTAAAAAAAAAAGTATGCATAATCTTCATCTTAGAATATTAAGACATATCATAAATTCTCAATCTCAAAATCAATTCAGCGAATATCAGAGGGCGCTTAGCTGTGGCTCACAATTGCTCATAAACTCAGATCCATAAATATTTCTAAAAATCAAAGGATTTCTCAAATTTTAATTCATCATGCAAAAAGACATTTATGTTTGTAAAAATATCCCTCACCCCCTCTCCTTTTAACACTGGGTCAATAGATTGAATAGAGGGACAGCGAACAGTGTATTTAGCTGCCATAATTTACGGGACACCTTTGTTAGAACTTCTAAATGAATTCTATTGAACAATATTGATTTTATGCTTCAGGTTTTTAATTTTCACAAAATTATCTTTATTAAGCATTAAGTGTAACTGTTTGCTTTTGGCAAAGGAGGCTGTGATGCCAAGAAAAACTCTTGATGCAAGTTTGCCCTTTTGTGAGTTAATTGAAAATAATTATGATGTTTGACAGATGCAACGAAGAATAAAATTGAGTGTTGCCATGACTAGAGACCCTTAACTCGATTGTGAGAGAAATTTATTTTAATTTGAGTCTCCATTCTTGATCATAAATCAAGCAAAACAAATACAATGTCTTTAATTTGTATTGGCACATATTCAGTGAAAATCACCTTTTACATTAATTTTTTGAAGGATATTGGCTGAGGACTAAGGCAAAACAATTCTCAAGCATCAAAGACTTTATTTTATCAAAAACTATAATGCACTAGTATATATACTTTGAGAAATTGAAGTTAGATATTCTATACATTGCCTTCCCAATTACAGCCCCCTTCTTTTCCATCTTGCACACAAAATCTGTTGAAATAAATGAAAGAAATGAGTAAAATAAAGTACATTTTCAGATAAAATGATTGAGATGCCATATCAAAAGTGAAATTGCTCCCATTTCACTTTCCAAACTTATCTATATCTGTCTTGCCAGCTTTGTTGAAATGATGGTATATGTTAAATTGGTTCTCCTTATTTTTTGAAAAGACTTTTCCTGCCCCTCTCTGCTTCAACAAAGACACAGGGGGATTTGAGGTGGTGACGGATGCCAAGAAAGAGCTTGCCAAACAGATCAAAGCTGCCATTCGATCTCAGAAGAGGACCCCCAAAATCTACAATGTGGTCAAGCAGCACAGCTTCTCAAATATTCCCCTCATCCCCATCGAGGAACCAGATGAACCAGAAAACTTGGAGATCAACACCAGCTTTACTGTCACTGTAAGTTCTGGTTTTATCTGTATAAAGCTTTTAAGGTGGAAGGTTTTTATAGAGTCACCTTAATGTAAGAGGTTTAGTAAGAACAGGTTTGCATATAATATTGCTTAGCTGTAAATCAAACTGTTTTATTTACTTGGTAAGAATTTTGCTGTGATTATATGATGGGTGTAAATAGTGGTGACTCTGCAAAGTGTATTTTATTACTTATGAGTTTGTGCACACATATACTTCAAATTTTAGTGACAGCATAAATTTTGATATGATCATCAGTCTTGTTAAGATATTGATGATTCAGAACTTTGTGGCCAAAACCGGCATCTTGATAAACTTCAACAGAAAAGAATAAGCTAAAATGTAATAAAAGTTTTACCTGTAGTTTATTCAATTTTGCGAAATCTTTTCATGGAATTGTATAAAAGATAACAAGATGTCTGATAGTAAAATTGTTTACCTTATAAACTCTTGATAAGTCTCTGGCTAAGTTGTTGTCTATGTATATTTTTCAGACTCTCAACAAGGAGCAGGGAATACACTGGATCAAGGAGGAGAGACTCCCAGCATTTCTGGAAAGTGAGTTCTACATGGAATACAGACTCGGAAAGCTCATCTCCCAGACCAAAGTCCAGGGGGACAAGGGGCAGTTTGTCCTCATGTCGGTGGACTACAAGCCCAAGACCAAGATCCGCAGGAAGAAATCGATTGAGGAGGTACCCCAGATTGACCCCAAGGAAAAGATGACAAAGGATATGTTTGTATGTATGGGGGACACACCAACAACAGAAGCTGAGGCTTGGTTCACTAGTGCTCAGATCACACAGAACTCTGACATGACCTTCTCCACTCTAGCCCGACCCAAGAGTGCCGAGATTGTGAGGAGGCCCAACAGTGCTCGACCAATCAGTGCCTACAGTGCATTGGAGGGTTATCATCGCTCCGAGAGTGGGGTGGGGACTTCGGTGAGGAGCTCCGTCTACAGCGGTCATCATTCCAAAACTTCCATAGAGAACCTAGAGGATGTGTATTCTAGCAAGCTCTTTGCTGTGGATGGAAAACCCATGATACATAAACCTTCAGAATCAGTGTTTAGTGTTACAGAAGACCATTCTAAACAACAAATGAGACCTTTTAGTTCTACTGTTTATACAAGTCCCAAAATTGATCCCATAGAGGTGGATGATGAGTCAGGTTTTGAAGCAACAGACAGTGATTCAACTTCTTCCAAAGAAAGACAGGATGATTTCTTAGATGAAGAACCAGCAGTACCTCAACAAGAAGAACCATCTTCTTCTCCACTCCAAGATGGCCAACAAAACATAGTGTTCAAAAACATTGATGACATAGGAGCAGCTGTGGTAAGAGCAGTTCTAACCAAATCTATTGCCCAGCTCAGCAACAGAGAAGAAAAGGAGGTGCTGCAAGACCCAACAGTAATAAAGAGTCTTCCCCAAACACAACACAAGAATCTGACAGTGGACATGCTGGATAGAGTCACTCTGGATGAAAAGGAGGAAGAACCTGAAGAGGAAGAGGTGCAAGAGGATGAAGAAGAACTAGAGAAAGAGAAGGAAGAAGAGAGTGATAATGATTCACTGCTGGATAGTGAAGAAGATTACGAGGAGGGGGACACGTTCTTCAGGAAACACAGACACAAGACCTACTCCCTCAGCAACAGGAAGGGGATAGAACAGTTCAAGGTGTTCCTAGAGGGCACTGCTGGGGAGAAGAACTGGAGACTGTGGATTGATATAGATAGGCTGGTGTGGATGAACAAACAGGATAAAATAGATCCTCACATCAAACATGTACAGACACAGCAGTAAGTTGATCTACCTAGTTTTAGTTTATCATTGTATCTGATACAGTGAAACTTGTTTGATCCAGAAGTTGCCTATTCCTAAATCTAGCCTAATATGGTGTAAACTTGAAGTCTCTCGCGGGAAATGCAATTGTTTAGAATATTTTCAAATGCAGAATGTTCTCTACTCTGGCCAATTTCTTTGAAATCAGTGGTTTCAAGATTAGGCAAGTTTTTTTTGTACCAATATGGTTAGATTAAAAAAGGCATTGTGCTTTGATATTTTTTTTTAGTTTAAGTTAATATGGAGCTGTTGATTCTGTGCCCAAATGTTTTATCTAGGCATCTGCAAAGGGAAAATTACATGTTGGGTCTTACCCAAATTGGATATAATTTCTAAAACCTGTTTGAGATTTAGTGTGTTTTATGTATAAGTGGGGTTTATAAAGGACATTTGAATAGGGAGAGAATGATATCAGGACTTTAATTTCCATGTAAAATCAAGAACCCACAGGCAGTTGAACTGATAGAATTGGAGTGTACCTTCCTGATAGACAGATTTAGATGTTCAAAAAGAGTTTGTTTTAACTATTGATCTGGCTAAAAGCCCCCTTCTGTCCATGTTCATCCCTTGATAAATAAAAGTATTTATTGATTTTAGACAAAAGTGATTTATCACAACAACTGGCAAGAACAAGGTATTGGAGGTTTATAACAGAAATTAAAGGGGTTTTAGGATAAGATTTTTCACCATGTTTAAGGAGACTGTAATAATTGTCTTTAATAGTGACATTAATAAAATGGCAAAGGATGACAGAACATTGTATTTTATCTTTAATCTTAGATTTAATATTTAGCTTTCAAAAATGATATAAGTTCAGCATGAAAAAGAACTGACAGTTCCTGAAAAACTGAACTACAGTCATACCACATTATAGCTAATGATACTATACTTCAGTTAACCCCAGGTGCCTGTCTCAACCCAAGAAATGCATATTTTGCATGGGTGGTTATAGGAACTGGGTAGGGTGGGTTGAAAGCTGCTTAATGCTTGTGTCGCCATTATACTAAAATCTAATGACTTCTTTTTTCGCTTGTCAAGGAATGTTTGCTAGTGTCCCCAAATCCCCCAACTGAAGATTTTTGCCCCCCCCCCCCAAAAAAAAAAAAAAACCAAACAAACTGAAATTGCTTTATACGAGTCTGTTTTGAATATTCTTATTAAGAATTTGCTTGGTACTCTCTTTGGGTCCCAAAAAAATATATATTCCTCAGAAAAATTTATATATATTCAACATTGACTTTCTATGAGTTTTAAGTTGCAAGAGTCCTTAGTAACTGCTACTCTGTCAAAATTTAGTTTTGTCAATTTAAATCTAGACCTTTAAACGTTCATACAATACGCAGCATTCCGAAGACATCCAAAGGCCATACTTAAAACTTTAAGTGTGTGTTTACTTAGAATATGACATTCTTTACAAGAACAGAAGACAGCTACGTAGAAATTAGAAAACGATGATTTAAAATGAAAGATCCTGTTATTATCATTTCAAAGCTAAAGCCAACACAATTTATCATACAATGTGGCGTTTGCTATTCTCCGTCATAATGTTTGTCCATTAATGGGAAGTTGTAATGAAGAGCTGGTAATTAGAGTGTATTGATAGATTTTAAATAAATGATATTTTGATCGTTTTATTCCTAGATGGAAATGTCACTTGTATACATATATTGATCATATGAAATGTGTAACCTGATAATGAAGTTGTGAATCTTAGAAAGTTTTAAATGGATTGTCCTTTCCCTAATAGAATTTCATTGCAGGAGAGTTGTATTTCTATCTTTAATAACTGAAAATTGCTGTTACAGAAAAAAAAAAACATTTATCATCTTCATGCATTTATTAATTATCATTTGAAACCCTGCATAGGAAATATACAGAACAGAAGAAAAGGTTATAAAATGGGTGTCTGATTTTAACAGGTTTCTGTCCTATATACGAGAGCAATATCACAAGCAAGGTGCCCCGTATGAACTTTCCTTTGAACAGAAGCAAGAACTTGGACTTGTGGAGCCATCATCATGGACTTTGGAAAAGCTTGGCAAGATACAGAACAAAATAGCAGAGCCCCTTGTCTTATACTGGTATGTGTTTACCTTGACTTCAGATACAGTTGTGCCTTGTTAATCCAGACTCTTGTGTCCCCTATAGTGAAATGTCCAGATTAATGAAGTACCTGAATCATTGAAATTTACTCATTATCATTGGTAGATGTATTTGTACATGTATATTCTGTTTTCCCCAAATTTGGGATGGAAGATAAACCACCTGGATGTAGTGGGACTTGACAACTAAAAAAAATAATTAAAAATCATTTTAAGATTTCTTCACTCTTTAAGTGCACAATTACAAGGTGTTGTGTTGATAAATTTTTGATAAAACATTATTTTTTAAAAATTCAGGGCTCCAAGATTTTTATTAAAACAAGTACAGTACAAGAAACCAGAAGAAAACTACCTCTACCAGAACCTGAAGCAGGTGAAAGCTCAAGACAGCAGTGTCAACCCCAGCCCTCACACTGCCACGCTACTGCCCCTCCGACCAAAGTCATGTATGCCCCGGATACAGCAGTCCATTAACTTACATGTATGTACTATATGGAGTTAAAATGCATTGCATTACTAAAAATATAGATAATTAAGAGATCGTAAATTTTTATGAATTTCTTTAGCTAACCAGAGCTTCTGTCTAAACTTTTCTGATTAAAATTTGTTCATTCCCAGTCATTCATTTGTAGAAAATAATTTTTCTTGCATGTACTTGAGCATTTTTCAAGTATAAAAAGGTACATAGTTCTTGGAGAACCATAAATAAAGATTTCTAACATTTTATTAATGCATATTTACATTTAAAAAATTTAATCATTTATGCTCTATGAATTAATCTGAGGTAGCATGAAAAATGATTGTCAACAACTGTTGCCTACTCTAGACCACTATATTTTTGTGACACCTTATTTTCGCGAGATAGTCATTGACTCTTGATTAGTGAGACAAAATTTTCACAAATTGTGGTTATTGCTCTATATATATAATCTTAAGGAATGCTATTATACACAAGAATTAAATTTTCACGAGCACACTGTCACGCGTAATTGTCAAAAGCAGTTCCCTATTCCTAAAAAGTGATTTACAGTCTCTTCCAATATTCTACTAAAATAATAAATCAGTAATCAGCTAAAAGATTTATTATTTAACTATTTGTTTTTTAGCCCCCATCAGTCAGACCCCCAGTCCTGCCAGAGACGTCTCCTCCGGTGGGGATGAAGAGGGTCTATGCTCCCTCAGCCCTCCGTCCTCACTCCTCAAACTACAAAACAAGGCAGGAGGAGAGGAGGAAAAAGATGTTGTCCTCACAGTTCTCTGTAGATAAGTCAACTAAACCTCGCATCAGGAGTGCTCCAAGGTACCTTTTATCATTTGTCATCAAAAATGACTTCCTTGAAAATAGTAATAAATTATTAATTGTAATTTTGATTTCCCTTGTGGCTATTTGGCCTTGAAAATACTGATAATGAAACTGCAGCAAAAATTAGGACTTTTTTTTGCATATTTTACATGCAAATAAAAAAAATGCATGTTTCAACATAATCCTTCCATAAGATGCTGACTAATTATTATAATGGTTTATCCATGCATTGTTATTTCTTGATCAGTGGATGACATTTTAATTACTTTTCAGTTTGTCCCATAGTCGGACCTCCTCTGCCGCCTCAGCACATCGTTCCTCTGCCAGACCTTCCTCCTCGGTGAAGACTCCAGTGGGCTCGGAGAAACTGGACACAGAAGTGAGATCTCGCCCCTCCTCAGCCGGGTCTGACCGCGGGTCAGTATCCAGTTCCATCAGTTCGGTGTTCCCAGGAGGAAGAAGGATGGACGCTCTTCTAAAGGCTCTCTATCATGAACGACAGGCCGGTGGATTCTTTCAGAAATACATTGAAAGAAGTGGTAACAAGGTATGTGGTTATAATACTGTCTCCCTATTATCACATAGTATTCAGTTATACTTTATCATTCGAACTAGAAGATATGATATGCTTTTTTTGTTGCATCTTTTTATTCATTTTATTATATTTTCTCATGTTCTTAGATGTGGGTGAACTGTTTAAATTTCTGGACTGATGTTCAAGAATACCACACACTCTTTTATGCTGAAGTCATAGATCCATACATTGTACAGAAAAAAGCAAAGGTATGATATCAAAGTTTTATCCCTTTATGTATGTGATTGAAGTCTGAAAATTACCAGTACATGTGATTAAAATTTGATAAATTCCTTTAAATTGATTATATTTTTTCAGGTGATCTACTCTCGGTACATTGTGGTAGGAGGGGATCGTAACATTGGCTGTAGCCATGAGATCAGATCTAGGGTGTACAGAACCCTGCAGCCTCCCTTTGAGGACCTGTTTGATGAGGCTGAGGAATATTCCTTGTCTGTTCTGTATGTGGCATGGAGTCAGATGATAAATGTAGACATGAAAACTTATGGAAAGGTACATAGTACATATATGTATTTAAACATAGACTTTTTATACATGTCCATTCATTGAAGCTAGAATTATTAAACAAAATAGTACTATATGATTTGAATTTATAAATTTCAGGTTGAATTAATAGAAGTCAAGAAACATTTGGAGACAAGGTCAAAATATGTCTTAAATTTACAGAGGAAAGGACTGATAAAGCAGGTAGGACATCTAAAGGGGGATAACTCTTACTGAGACGTGGATATTAATAACCAAGTGTTGATGTACAATAGGAGATCTGCCAATTTCATAATTATAAAACATGAAATCAATATCCTATTTAAATTTCTGGTCAATATTTTAGTTACTCTAGTGGCATATTTGATATATAAGGCCTAATATGTTTAAAAATGATTACTATAAGATGTTTACTTCAAATTAATGCCATTGAAAAGTTTGTCGAGAGTGCAACAACACTGACAATGGTTAAGTTTGAGGTGTTATTTGTGAGAAATGGTGATGGTGGTCTATATGACTGGAATCTTTTCTTACAGCGAGTGTTGACTCCCGAGGATCCCATGGAAGGTTATGAGGACCCTGTATACGATGAGACTCTCCTGGAGAAAATTCCTGAGGAGTTCCGAGATTTCACTTTAGAGAAATTGGTGCACAATAGGATAGAAGTAGAAAACTTTAAGTTATTTTTGGCAGAAAATTATGCTAGTATGGATTTATTATGCTGGATGGATATAGAACACTTCAGACGAATGCCTCAAGTTGATGAAAAGAAAAGAGATGAGAAAGCTAAAGAAATCAAAACAAAGTATCTAAACAAGAAATATTTCTTTGGACCCAACAGTCCTGCAGGAAAAGAAGGCCAAGATAAGGTGATTTTCATGCTATTAACCCCTTGTCTTTTAACAGGCTAAAACAGAACATAAATGTGAGAGTAAATTATGAAGTTTCTGCAGCAATTGAAGTATAAAGATACTGATAGTAAGGAGAACTTATGTAGGATATAAAGATTTTTAATTTTTTCCCTATGAATTCTATCACTTTCATTGGACAAGAGCTTATGTTTAAAACGTGTATTAAAAATTTCCCAAAGTCATCTTAAGTGGTACTTTTATAAATTAACTTTTATTAGCTCACCTGAGCCGAAGGCTCAAGTGAGCTTTTCTGGACTTCTTCTCAAGAACCACTTTTTAACCAAACTACAAAGCATCCATGGGTGAAGGGAAATTTAAATTGTAAAAATGAAGGGCCAAGTCTCCTCACAAGGGGAGATAATCAAGAAAAGGCAAAAATAGGGTGGGGTCAAGAAAAGCTGAAACTTAAGTGTATTTTTTACATAGAAATTTATAGGAAAAATCTTTAAAAATCTTCTTCTCAAGAACCACTGGGCCAGAAAAGCTGAAACTTATGTGGAAGCATCCTGGGGTAGTGTAGATTCTAAATTGTTCAAATCATGACCCGCGGGGGTTGGGCGGGGCCACAATGGGGAATCCAAGTTTTACATAGAAATATATAGGAAAAATCTTTAAAAATCTTCTTCTCAAGAACCACTGGGCCAGAAAAGCTGAAACTTATGTGGAAGCATCCTGGGGAAGTGTAGATTCTAAATTGTTCAAATCATGACTCCAGGGGGTTGGGCGGGGCCACAATGGGGAATCCAAGTTTTACATAGAAATATATAGGAAAAATCTTTAAAAATCTTCTTCTCAAGAACCACTGGGCCAGAAAAGCTGAAACTTATGTGGAAGCATCCTGGGGTAGTGTAGATTCTAAATTGTTCAAATCATGACCCCCAGAGGTTGGGCGGGGCCACAATGGGGAATCAAAGTTTTACATAGAAATATATAGGAAAAATCTTTAAAAATCTTCTCAAGAACCATTGGGCCCAAAAAGCTGAAACTTATGTGGAAGCATCCTGGGGTAGTGTAGATTCTAAATTGTTCAAATCATGACCCCCCGGGGGTTGGGCGGGGCCACAATGGGGAATCCAAGTTTTACATAGAAATATATAGGAAAAATCTTTAAAAATCTTCTTTTCAAGAACCACTGGGCCAGAAAAGCTGAAACTTATGTGGAAGCATCCTGGGGTAGTGTAGATTTCAAATTGTCTAAATTATAATTAGTGGGGTAGGGTGGGGTCACAATATGTATTACAAGGGGATAACCTGGTAAAGAACAGAATGGTCAAAGCTTCTCAGGTGAGCGATGTGGCCCATGGGCCTCTTGTTCTTGTTCTGTAGGTAATGGCTGCCGGTGGTGGGTATGGTAAACTTCTGGAGGACCGTCCACCGAATGCTGTTATACTGGAGGCCCAGAAATACGTCAGGGACAGGCTGGAGAAGAAGTGGCTCCCTCTGTTCCTGGCCACTCCCGAGTTTGCGGAGCGTCAGAAACCCAAGGCTGGCATGGACGATGTAGTGGATGATGTCTTGGTTCAGAAAAAGAAGAAATCTCAGTCTGTGATGAAGGTTTGTGGCTTATTTAGTGTTAAATCAAGTAGAAATTAAGATGCTTTACTATTCTGTGCATTAATCCTTTATTTAGATATTGCTTTGTACATACATATAAATTCTAAGGATGTATATAAAGCAAAGATTATGTAGAGCAATAGCCATAATTCGTAAAATTTTGGCTAATGAAGAGTCAATGACTGTGATTTGATCAAGGAGAAGTGTAGGCCAGGACATCATGCTAGACCTGCTGGTGCTCTACTACTGAGCTACCAGACCAATACACTTAATCCCAGTTAGATATTAAAACTTGCTACTTCTAATAAAAACACCTTCATTGATACATGTACAATATACTTCCATGCATAAAATTGCACATATGTGAATATCATATAAAAACTGATTTTAATAATTTAGTTTTAAAATATTTTCAGTTGTTGGACACAAAGTGGCAGTCTTCTGCAAAGGACGTAATTCTCTTCCGAAAATGTTTGCTCAATCCAGTAACGGCCTTGCAGTTCCGTCGCTACGTATCGGTCAAGGACATCTCCAACAAGGAAGACAAACTGGAGAATGATGTTCTCTTCTGGTTAGAAGTCCAGCGCTTCAAGGTCAGTAATGTCCATAGAAGGAAAAATCCAGAATAATTTAATAGATCTGAAAAGGAAAAATATTTACTTCAAAAATAACATTACCAAAGTTTTAAATATAATAATAAAAATTCTGTTCCTCTTAAACAACATGAATGTTAGTTAATCTCTTTTGAAATGATGAGAAAAGATTTGAATTTGTAAGTAATGAATTTTAGTTCATAATAGTAGAATGAGAGATAAAAACTTATTTTTAGATATAAAGTAATGATATTTGTTTTTGATAGGATCTGTATCACGTTCACTGTGATGACGCAGTGATCCTAGCCAAGGTGAACTCCATCATTGGTTGTTTTATTGAGTCGACCATTCCACCAAGTCTTCAGATTGATATACCAGCAGACCTTGCTGAGCGCATCGCAGAACGAAAATACGAAAGGAGTCCATACATCTTTAGGGAAGCTCAGGTACTTTGTCTCTGGTGTCTGATATAGCACTTGTTTTATAAACTGTATCTTTTTCTTTAAATATTTAAACAATCTGAGATAAACTGCAGTCTGTAAAATTGACACAGTATATTTTGTACTGTAAATGAAAGATAATACAGAAATGAAGCAAAGGGTTTGAAGTAGAAAAGCCTTTCTTGGAAATACATGTATAGAAAACAAGCTGTTGGAAATCATTATAATGAATGGGATTGTAATAGAAATTCTGTGAGCATTTCCAAATGGCACAGTTAATTAAGAATGATAGACATTTACATTTGATTTGTAGCTAATCGTCTTCCGTTACCTGTACCAACACTGGAACGATTTCATCAACTTTAGGAGTAACATTGCTGATGAGAAGGTCTTACCCACCATAGAAAGACGAAGGAGACATGCTAAAATCAAGGAAAGACATCGACAGAGGGAAATGGAGGAGAAAGCTCAAAAGGTAAAACTAGGGGGCTTGTAAACGTTTGTCCCAACCAATAAAATGAAAACAGAATTAGACATTGTTATAAGAGATGCTATCAGTATAATGATTAGAAAATTCAGTTAAATGTTCTGGAATAATTGTAATTCTAAAAAAGGAAAGGAGGAAGAAAAAGATTTTAAGTTTAAAAAGGAAAAGTTTAAATTCTTGAGAGTTCTTCTCTTGTTTGTAAAGTCCTAATATGTTGTTAAATTTTCTTGTGATTTTTGTATGTGCAATATAGGACAAAGAAAACAAAGTGGTAAATTGATTGACTTTTAAATAATATCTCTCTTTCTATACATTCATCTTTCCATGATCAACACACCTTTAATATTTCAGTATTTGGGGGATTATTTCTAAAACATTTAGTGTGCACTTCAACATAATGCATCCCAAAGATATCACAATCAACACAGAGTGTTTACATTGATTAAATTTATGATTTTTTTTTTGGTCAGGCACATGGCACCTCTTTAAAAAGCACAATGTTTTTGTTTTATTTTTTAATAATTAAGACTAAAATTATTACATCTCAGTACTACAAGTATGTGAAGATTATCGTAGGAATGTTGAATTTATTGCAGGAAATCCTATATTTTTGTTTCAGTTAATTATTATACATGATCCACACAAAAAATGGTACACACCATTTAGTCGTAAATATGTAAGTGATTGATGCATGATATTATAACAAATTATGCAGTACATATATTTATAATGCAGTGGCTTTATGAAAATTGAATGGCTTCAATAAAACTTAATATATTATGCTAAATGTCATGATCCTGTTTGATATTTTAGACTAAGCAGGAACTAATATATCATATTTGTATGAAGCTTTGAGTTAATGGATTTAATTATGAAGAGCTGCATGTTACATAATTACAAAATACAGATGAACCACTCAAACTGGTGAATCCTTTTTGAAGTAGTCGGGCAATTATATCTAATGGTTTACATTTCTTTGACAGTGCTTGAGCATTTAAACTTGAACTTAACATTTTAAAGGTCGCTGCATTTAGATATGACAGCATAGAAATTCCTGCAATAGGCCCCCCATGAATGCATGCCTTTACATTCCCACCCTGCATCAATAGTCTATAGAATGGCCTTGCGCTGTGGCCCACTTGCAGTCTTGTTCTCAAAAGCTGTATCAATGTAATCTCTGTCTTAATACACTGGGCCTGGAAATCTGCCACAAACCAAAGTTTATAAACATTTTGAAATCTATTGTATCACACACAATCATTGTGTACACTGTTATTATCTAGGGAAGTGCATTAAACTCTCTGACTTCATCAACTGCATCTTTGAAAACCACCCACAAAACTTTGCCCCTAAACAGGGGGTGGCATTCTTCGAGTCCCTCCACCCACAAACACAAGAAGACAGTAAGTTGGATAAAGGCTATGATCCCCTCGGTGTGGAGATGAAGGCTCGGTGTGACACTCAGTCTGGATTATCCCCTCGCACAGGGGGAAGGGTGGCACAGAGACTCCTCAAACTTTTGGGACTGGTACAGAAGTTTATTTATAGGGGATAGGAGGTGGTATATGGACTGGGTGAATTGCAGGCACTGGTTGTAAATGTGTTGTGTTAATGTGGGTTATCTTTACATGGTTATATGGTGTGGAATCAAATTAATTTGTGGTGTGGAATTAATAAAATTGGTGGTAAAATGTAAGCACTTAAGAAAAAAAAGTTGGTTTGTATTGATAAATTCTAAAATACTTGTGAGAATCTACAAATTTAATATGAATTAAATATATTTATGTTAGAAAAATTGGATGATATTTACAAACTCTCAGATAATTTTCATTTATATATATATATATACTTGGATTTAAAAAAAAAAATGCCGCTGTTAATAAATAAAATTCTCATTTTAAAGGAGGCAGAAAGGCGGGCAGCTGAGGGATTACCTCCCCTTGGTGATGAGGATGAAGATGACCAGTTTCATGACCCCTTTGCCATGCATCGGACTGAGGAAGATGAAGAGGAAGCAGGACATGGGGACACAAAGGACAAGATTTCCTGGTCTTATTCCAGTTATATGGCTGCCTTACACAAAGAGGACATTCTCAATAACACAGACGAGAGCACGTTCAGCTCCCTCATGTCTGATACATGTAAGTGATTTCCACCATGATTTTTCCTCCTGAAATACATGTACCTATATTCTGAAAACTGTCATTTCTTACCTCTGATTTGTCATTATAAGCATGTTACACTTGTTTCAGAAATCTACAGTAGAGCATGCTTAATATATAGCAAAGTGCCATAGATGAATAATTTTGATTTGTTATGGAAAAAATTTGTTATAACGGTATCCATTAAGTTTATAAAAATTATGGGAATAGAAATTATGCCACTTTAAAGCTGAACAGGATTTGTAACAGGAATTTTTCAGCCATATTTGATTGGTCTCTCACTATATCTGAGGGCCTCTATACAGGGCTCGACATTAACGCTTGTCCGCTTGTCCAGTACCAATGAAAAATAAATTCGGACAAGTGAATATTGCTGGGCACTTGTCCGATTGGACAAGTGCATTTTAATGTAAAGGAGTCTCTAAATAATAAAAAGAACGACTGTTGAAAGCTAAATCGGTAGTCTCAACCCAAGACGGAAGCTGTACATAAAATCCAAACTTCGATCCCAATATGTATCGCTATATTAATATTGAGTTCACATTCGATCGGGATCGAAGTTCACTATAATTGCACTGAAAAGTCATGGAAGATACGAACCGAAGTAGTGAATATTGTTTGATGTTGACAGTTTCACTTGTGGACATTTATGTTATTGTCAGGACAGAAAGCCTAAATTAGATTTCCTTTTATCTGTCTGTAACAATAACATCAAGAATCAAGCAAGGGCATGACATGTGTAAATAAATGGACTTAATTTTAATTTTCAAGTTGAAACTATTGAACTTTAATCTATTGAAAATTTTCGGACAAGTGAAGTTGAATTTCGGACAAGTAAATGTCTTGGTCACTCGTCCGAATGGACAAGTAGGAAAAAAAGTTAATGTCGAGCCCTGCTATATAAAGCCTCTCAGTCACTGTTCAGTGTAAGCAATCATCACCTATGCTATACAGCACTCAGCAGCAACAAAAAATAACTACTTCTAATGCAGGAGAGTAAGACACCAAAGAAACTTACAACAGTCGCATAGGTCAGTGCAGTATATGAACAAACACAGAAACATGTAACTGCAGTATAAACAAAGAAAATGCAAGATAACCAGCACAAACATGCAGGTCACCATTCCAAGATGATACTCGTGACAATAAAGCAGTCAGGTGTAACCAATGCAAAGAGTAACTGTATACCCTAGTGCTGATATTTTAGATCGATTGTAATATTGAAAAATGCTGTATGCCTATTAACAAGTCATGTTCAGCTTTAAAAGTGAATACATCAGAAATTTAGAATTGTGTTTGTTATATCTATCTTTTACAGTGTCCCCTTATATATTATACATGTATATGAAAAATACAATGTTGACAACTCAGAATTCCTGTATTTTATGGTGTATTTGACATTGTAGCATCAGTCCATGGCAGTGAGTCTGCAGAGAAGGAATCTAATGCTGTGACCGTACAGTCCTCTTCTACTGTTACAAAAAAAGAAATGAAGACTGAACAAACTCAAACTGACAAAAGGTACAGTTCTTATAACTGGTGAAAGAGATAACTCACAGAATTTTATGTAACGAACATCACAATTTCTTTTATGATTCCATCTATTTTGTACTTTATTTTTTATTATTGTGTCCATTATATAATGATGGAAGATATCTGGTTGATATAGAGTTACTTATAATTTCAGGAAACATGGAAAGGTTGGTTTTGCAGAGGAGCCCTCAAAACCTGAAACTCCAATTAAAGGTAAACATAAATGTTTCATACAATTATTAAAAACATTTATTTCATGAAAAACGATTTCAACTACACTTAGTTTTATTTCCTATTTAGTGTACTGTAGATCAACGAATATTTGCAACACCTTATTTGCGCAAGATAGGTATTTGGTATTTATAAGTAAAAAACAAAATTTTCACAAATGCTGGTTATTGCTGTATACTGGTCGGTATATCCTAAGCCAATAAAAATTTAAGGTCAAAATCTAGTAAATGACTTTAGAATAACTTTTCAGTGCTAAATCCATTATTACGTCATAATCACTTTCAACTTTCTTTTTCCCGTACTTTACGGTTCTAATAGAATTATGTAGAAAATAAAGTATTTTCATGGAATTCAATTTGAAATCACATGAAAAGTAGTCCCGATACCTATCTTAAATTTAACATTATTTTAAAGTAGAGACTAAGAACATACAAATAACCCTTTTCTGAAAAATTGTAGGCAATCTGGATACATTTTCTTTGTCTGATATGGAAAAAACTCCCATTTTTCGAGGTGACGTAAGTCAGCCTCGATAGCTGCTCTATAGCTTAATGGCGGACCCCTGTGATCACTACCATTTGCATTTTCTTATTGATCTTCGCTCTTTGGGACAGATCAGTAATCTTGTTGTTAAAATATGATACCTTAGAAGGCAAGGATAAAATCAGAGATAGGTTGCTAATATGTAAACAATAGCACTTGCAAGATGGATTGGAAATATTAAAACGTTAATTTTTATCAGTTCTCTAAGAAATATAGTCCTCTTATTATGCATGTATTGAAATCAGAATTTCAGTCACAAAACAAGATCTACAATGTATTCAATTTAATTTCCAAGCAGTAAGTAGTGTTTTTATGGATTTACAAATACTTAATACAAGTTCCTGAGTGGGAATAAGATATGAAGTATCCCTACGCTCTGAACTATTTTAGCGAGGGTAAAATGTAAACAACTGGCTGCAGCAAGGATCGTGACCTACATGTATGTGTATTGAACGTCGATCGCAGGCAAGGTAGAGAACAGAACAGTATACACTGAAACAAAACAGAAGGAAGCGTTCTGCTTGAATTGAAACATGCAATTAAATAAATTCGGGGTTAACATAGAGGCGTCTGAGGCGCAATAGTCCCTACTGAGCTCCAAAATTCAGCGTAAATTATCACAAAAGCGAAGTTATTTTCACCCTTCTGTTTTTGTAATTCATTAAAAAAAAATCTGTTTAGAACGTAAAAATATCGTCCCGATCTTATAAATCCGTTTGGTGCTATCACTGTTGAAAATTAAGGTGAATAACAGCGGGGCACCTGTACCTATTTCGCTGCATGCTAATGAGTAATGACCACTTCATCGAATACTCGGTCGGAACTCCTCTAGAATTTAGGATTCCGCATATGAAAAATTACATTGTTACAAGTTATACACAACACACAGCTAAACATCTATCGATGTCATACCGAAGGTAGATCATTTCTATTGTTAAAATGATTGAATCGTGCTGTAAATAGAGACATGCATGTAAATTTTAGAGCTATTAATCTAGTCTACATTGTTTTGAACATATTTTATTGTATAAACAAAAGGATTGGAAACAAGTTCTTTCAACTTACGAGTTCCTCTCCTTAAATATAACTATATGTCATGCAATTAAAATGTAGTACATAGAAATTTACATAATAATTTATACTTGTAATAAAATTATTATCATGTGGTTTCTATTATTCATAATTTTAAGAATTCACAAAAAAGAAAGTTATTATAAGGAATTTGAAAATGAACTTTACAGAGGATGTAAAAACTTTAGATTGATAATAGCGAATAATTTGTTTTCAAGCTGTAGACATTTATATGCCTTGTAACTGGAAAATTTGAAATAATATATTTTTCAACTATACCTTATGCTAAGTATTTTAATTTGATAGTTATATTTTAAATCTTAAAGCTAATAATATAGATTTTGATTTGATGGGCGAATTCAATCACTAAAGTAAAATCACTAATCCCCTAATCTACTATCTGGGAAGTCAAATTTTAAAATGCAGAATTTATGTACCTTTCTTTGAAATGTCAAATTGGGCCTGCTCTTGGCAAAGAAAATGCTGCATCAATGATAAATGTTGTTTCCTTGCTCCGGGGCACTTTTGATCTAATTTCACTTTTACTAATAAAGAATTACTAGTACATGTATTTGTAGAAAAGTGATGAGATTTTAAGTTTTACGGCCCCAGAGCCTTCATGCTGCAATTTCAAAAATATATGACACGTACATTATTTTCTTTTTCATACAAAGTTCATGAAAAGTTTAACTAAGGGGGATTCTTTAATACGTTGGCATATTGTAGAGAACCCTGGTGACAGAGTTAGGATACACTGGACAAAATGATACTGGCAGGATACTTATTATATTTAGTGTTTTATGTAAGCCCAGTGTCTGCACATTTTTGTTAATATCATTAAATATAATGTTCATCCTTAATACTGTGTAACTAGCTGCAAGTCTGTATCTCTTCAAAAAAATATATATATATTTTGACAGACCGCAGAGCTACAGTGCCATCCATTGAAAAAAAACTGTATACTAGTATTTATTGCGCACAAAAGTTGTGCTTAGTTCTGGATTAGTTCTTCCAAATTCTTACCTCAATCGCAAAAAAAATACATTTCAAAAAATTCCTTACTCCTCTATGAAGTACTCTCGTAGTTGACATCTGCACGAAGTGCGTTGGATTGAATTATCTTGCAAACCAAAATTGCATTATAAATAGACGATATGTTTGATGATCTCAATTTCAGGACCAGGAGGGCTATTAAAAACAATTATAAGGAACGTTTTGTTGTGGAAACAGTGAAAGAATATGTTAGGAACACACGGATAGTAATATTTTGAGATGACAGTTTAAAAACACGGAGAATAAATCGAGAAAAAGCGCACTTCTTTTTGCGCAATAAATAAACAGTTTTTCAATGGGTGGCACTGTAGCTCTCCGGTCTGTGAATTTTTTTTCGGAGAGCTACAGATCTGCAGCTACTGTATAACAAGAAACAAATCAAAATATAAATTGAAGAGAAATGCGAGGTATTTTCCTCTTATGGTGACGGGTACTGAAGGATAACTATAGTTCACTTTTTATACATCAAATAAGTTACAAAATGCATTGTCGTGTTGGTCACTTTTTTCTTTCCAGTGATTTTCATTGGGGTTTCTCCTAGATTAAAATTTTTGTATATGCCAGTTACTTGGGGGTGAATTTCACATTTTTCTGGAAGACGTCACCTCGATTCAGTACTTTCAGTACTTTGATCAATACTGGTTTTCTTAATTTTTCATTGAAAATGACAGTATAAAATATGATTTTTCATCTTGTTTTTTCTACAAATTATGCCCCGAAACACCTATTTTGACCAAGCTATTGTTATAAAGCATCATTAAAGGAATTAATTTCTTAAATCTGAAAAATCTGTAGGCACCTTCCATTTACTAGATCTTGACCTTAAGCCAGAATTAAATTTTTGGGAGCAAACCATCTGACACAATTATGCAAAAAATAAAGGTTTGGTGAACAAACGGATAAAGGTTTGGTGAATAAAAAGTGATTTACAGTAAAGTGAGGGAGCATTTCATCCCATGTGTGTAGATTTCTAGTATATCTGATCCATAAGATAGTTTTCTGGGGTCCGTTTTACAAAAGAACTTACGACTAAGACCAAAATCTGAAATTAACTGTAAAATTGTCCAACGTAAATCATTTTGTTAAAAATTGCCAGCGTAAAAATATCTCTATATATCCCTTTTAAAAAGAATTAAAACCATGATCAATTTATTTTAAATTGGAAATTTATAAACAGAAGTAAATTTTGGTCTTAGTCGTAAGTTCTTTTGTAAAACGGGCCCCAGATCTTTTGAATACATGTATCTATACAAACAATAATTATGTTTTAAATGCAGTGCTATTGTTGATAATGAGATTATAACTGATGATGATGATGATGATGATGATGATATTACAGGTGCTTTAAAGAAGAAGGGAAAGGAGAGTCCGACATTAAAGGGACCAGTGGGTTTCTCCAAGATGATGCCATTGGAGGAAGAAGGAGAAGAGGAACCAATCAAATCTCAGCAAAAGAAGGTCAAGGTCAAAGGAGAATCATTAATGTCTGTCAAGGAATGAATGAAAGGCTAAGAATTTAGAACCCTGTGAACTACAACAAATTGATGATCGAATGTTATCCATTGGGAGGACCATTTTATTTCCGATGGGTTGTAGAAAAACAGCCTTGTTTACTCTTGGGGAAAAGTCCACCTTTCTAACTCTAGATAGATCTGCATATAAATGAAAATCTTACAAATCTTGAGTACTTGTACAGTAGTTGCCTTATATGTGAACACTCAATAGCAATGCACATCAAAATGAGACATGTCTACCGGTATAATAAGTACAATTTACCTTTCTTTTTCTGAAGTGTCAATTTCATCTTTTAAAAAAATGCACAAAGTATGGACCGTTTTATTATCTGAATCAATAGAATAACCCTTACAAAGAACATGGAGAGGAGGGGATTATTCTGTGATCTTGTGATAAATATATTTCTCATATCAGTTATGATTATTTATTTAATACAGTTTATTATAATTTTTAATATATAAAACATGACATTATTTTTTAACATGAATTTTATTGTCAATGTGTATTAAATTACAAGTCAAACTTGTAGGTCTCAAAATAATAAATTAATGAAGGCTTGCTTATGATGATCAATATTAGATTGATAAGCCAACCATCATGATTGAAGAATTTTACCTGTTTGTGCACGAATTGCTGATCACTTTAGAGCATAATAATATTCTAGGTGATGTTTTGTATTCGTCCAAGCTCAGTCTGTGATATCAAATATTTTTGTCTATTTTTGGTTTATAATTTTTATAAATATTGCTAGTTTTACATTTGTTCAGGTATCTGTAATAATTAAATAAATGTAGAAGAAACTTGATTTTGTTATATTTATCATTAATCAATAATGATATTAATTAAATCGTTCAGGAGAGAATTTCTTTTTTCATTGAGACACGATTGTTGGTTTACATTGAAGAGGTCCATGTAAAGTGTTCAACCTCTTGAGAAAAAAACATCATTTACACATCAAAATTTACATGAACTCTTAAGTATCCAAACTTCATTCAAAGTATGAAAACTCATGTTACACCTAAAGTTTCATTAAAAAGAATCAATTGGTTCAAAGTGCAGGAACATTTAAAATGACACCAGCAACATTACTTGAAATATATGGAATATTGAAAGACTGGAGTAAGATATTTACAAGGTATTTACAAACTGGACTGCATTATTTGAAGACGGGGACAGAAGTGTTTTTCAGACATATCTTTGGGTTACCAACCCACAACATTCTCAACAGAAAATTTTGACCATGCACCAGGTATTTAATTTTACAACTCTTTATTTCTGCAACATCTATATATCCCTCTGAAAAATGCATTAGGGTAGGTCTTTTAGATATATTAAGGTCAAGGTCACAGAGCATTCATTCAATGAGAATAGGTCAATGCCATTGGATAAGTTCAGAATGCTTCCTTGCAATAAGTGGAACAGGGTAATGTTCATCAGTAACGCCCTTGGTCATGCTGGTTCTGTAGTGGTAATGAGATTGCATATGCTTCTGATGAAATACACTCTGAATATGATAATATCTTGTCTAGAATCATTGTTTATAACAGCCAAAATTAAATCTTAATGGATAATTGTCTGGCATTTTGCTCTACATGTCTACTAGTATGAGGTCAAAGCAATTTGTTAATGAATAAAATTCTGACACAGTTTGCTATATTTGGTTTTATTTTACTTTAAATCATTTTTTTTGGAATGCAGATGATGGTCCCGAGTTGATAACAATGTGAAGATTTTTGTTATCTTCAAATGGCCTTCATGCAAATCATTTTAATCAACCACGGAGTAAAATTGTTTCAAAATTGATCTCTTATTTTTGTTCAGACCTTTGACCTTGACCTAATGACCTTGGGTCAAGCCAAGAGTTTCTGACAACATATGCTACTTTTGAGTCAAGATTGAGTTCAAAATAAAAATATTCCTCCATGTTCAAACTTTGGACATGAACAAGATTTTTTTAAAAACTTTGGTCCTGTCATTATTGTATATAGTGCAGCTGTTACAGAGCTTGCGAATATCTAGAGATCTCATTTTTTTTTTTTTAAGTGAATGGAGAAAAATATCAGCACCCAAAAAAAATATAAATTTGAAATTATTAGTTAAAACATGTTTTAACTTTTATTTCTATTCAACATAAAGAATAATGAAACAAAGAATTATACCTCTACAACTTTAAATTCCCTCGAGGCATTTTTCACGTCTTCTTTAGCCGCGCCCTTTTGGTGCCTCATCTTGACATAGTTTTTCCCAGGATTCTAAGCCGAATGGCGAATACGGCGAACTACGATCTGTCAACAACTTTTCTATTTTGCGAATCTACCGATGGATCATGCAAGGAGTAAGACATTTTACAGTAAGTAGAGAGTCTTTAAAAGTATAATTTCACCATTGTTGTCCATGTTAATAGTATAAGGAAGCAGCACGTGTTTTTGCATCGATTTGTTGTCATATTTAAATGCCCCTCGCGATAGTTGCTGATGTTGGGTCACGGTAAATTTCGCGCGAAGCAATTAGATTGGCTTAAAAAAGATCAACATTGGTATTTCTTGGTATTTTGGTGAAAAAATAGGTAACTTTCAGTTTATATTTATATTATTCGAGGTTTGATAAGAAGGAAGGGAAATAGATTCAATGCAAGTGGGTGTGTTTATACATATATGCATTAACGAATATAGTGTGTGACACCTCGTGTTCTTAGTTTTTGTAAGTACCATATTGTCAAACGTCTTCATAAGCATAGAATATCAAGAAGTCCTATAAAATTAAGCTGAAAGAATGTTTGTATTCTTTATATCAAGTTTTTGAAGCTGCAAGCTAGTTTACAGTTAACATATACAATATGTATGGGATATGAATTGCTCAAAAAAGTTCATATTTAATGATTTCATGTTACTTTTACATCTATTCTTCAGTTGAATTTAAAAAGATTAGAACATGGACGTGGTAAATGCATTAATTTAACAAAAATTACATTGAGAGAACAGAAATTTTATTATTTTAGTGATCTTTTCTAAAGACAAATACAAAAACTACTTTATTATATTATTATATAGATCTCTGAAGCATGCTTGAGTAAAATTTGATAAATTGAAGAATTTGTTCATTATCAGACTCCATCAGAAATTAATATCAGATGTGTTTTCTAGAAATTTTCAAAACAAAATCAATAGCCCCTATCCGTTAAATTGCCTTTTTCAATGGAGACATGCTGGTACATCTTCATTACATTGAGTAAGATCCCTTCAATTTATATGGCAGAAAGGTTTAAACAAACATCAGAATATTATTTTTGCTGAAAGAAAGAGTATGTACTTAATGTCTTTAAAACAATCCACAAATTAATATATTTGTTGCATGCATACATTCATTATTGTTTATCTCTGAACCACAATATATCATCATATTGGAAAGCTAAATGAAAAACCATAGATTTTTTTTTTATTGTCAATATCTCTCTGTTAAGCATGCACTCTCAACTTTACAGTGTTTGAAAAGGTGTCAGGAAAAAAATATATAGTGCTTGAAAAAGATAGATGTGTTAAGGTTTTCTGTGAAAAATATTTTCCAATAATGCCTTCTTGACAAGAGACGTTTTTTGCCATATTGTAAAATGAAAAGCAAATTATGGACCTGATCTAATTATAATCCGAGGTAAACATAGTCATTCATTGAAGGGTAAAGCATTATCTGAACAAGAAATCTACAATTTTGTTGTAAAGGGTCTGGAGCACATGATTTTTAAAAAAAAACTATTTAATTATCGGAATTCATGAAACATACCATTATTCTCATTGAAGAAAAACAGGTCACTTTGTGAGTCTATGGCAGGTTCATACTTAGTAACCCCAGCTAAGCTAACACAGGCCTTGCCTTTCTCAAATCGGGTTTTTTTTTTCTTAAAAAAAGAAGTTACTTTTTTTCTCTCTCAGAAGAAAAGAATGCATAACAGGTTGACATTAAACTTCCTGAGTGTTTAAATTAATTGAAAAGCCGGGCCAACCTATAAAGCTGGGGACTGAATTCCAACACTTCGAAAAAGCTGGTGATATAGAGTGTGGATGTGTTCTTGTAAATTAGGGGGAAAGACTTTATACAGGGCAGTGATATCTTCACTGTGAAAGTGACTAGCATGGTAATAAGATATTCCATTGTGTTAAAGTTTTACATTTTTAACTGCATTTTTTACACCCCCTTAAAAAGTTGCAAGTAAGATTTTTGAGGCTCCTGGGGGATATTATATCAAGTGTGTATTTTTAGGGATGGTAACCTGACCCCTTTGTTGGTGCCTCACCTGGCAGAGTCTGTAAATCTACACCAGTGACGCTATCAGTTTACTGCATGGCATGCCAAGAAATTCATCTCTCCTCTCTCCTCCACAGCTATAATGAGATTCACACTCATAATGTTTTAGACTCGCAGCTCAGACAAACATATGCTCACTCTTGCTCAGGTTCTTGTCATTGTTATTAATATCAATGAACGTATATTTCTCAGAAGTATATTAGTTTTGGTTTCAAATTTCATAAAATTGCCATATTTTAGGAGTGAGACCTATTTTAAGGCTTTAAAAAAATTATTTCATTGATGGTTTAAGATATGGAACCTTATCAAGAAAAACGATATGGATTTAAAAGAAGTTAATTTTTTTTCATTTTAAGAATTTAATCTGCCATAAAACTAAATCTGTAATATAAGGTCTGGTTTCAGAATTAAAATTCCTTGGTCTTTGACTTTTCATGGTTTCATATTATGGTACAAAAAGTTATTAATAAAAAGGGTCCAAATATGCCTACAGTTAAATTTCTGTTTTTACTTTAAAACAATTTAAAAAATTCGACATGATTTCCTTCCATTTAGTACATGTATTATGGTTATCAGTATTATGCAGAATTATTAAAAGGTTGTTACATCAGAAATAAAGAACATTTTTAGATTTAGATTTTTAGATTTTTAACATAGGAGGCTGTGAGCCTATAATGTCCACCTGCGCATTGCAAAGAAATTAAGTGTGCAGTCCATCGACTTAGTCAGGGGAATTAAAACATTTCTTGTATACTGCAGAAAAAAATATCTCGTAGAACATGTACATAATTTAGAGTATATTTTTATGAGGGTTGATCCTAAATAATGTCACTGTGTCTATTTCATTTATTATATTTGGCACCTTATTATCAATTATTATGCTTCCTGTCAGTTTGTCTCTATATAACCCATACTCTACTATTCTCGCATAGTGGTCTAAGGATTTATATAGCTGTACTATGCCGAAATAGTCAATTTTCATTCTTCAATGCACACACAGGGAATAACTCGCGACCTTGCCAGTCTGATGCCTTATCGATTACGCCACAGAGACGATCACTGATTGGGAGAATTTTATAAAATATATATTAATTTATACAATTGACACAAGAAGAGAAAATAGACAAATATTATTTGAAAACATATATTTATTCTAAGGAATCTTAGATAAATGTGTACAATTTCAAACTGATTACATAATTTAGATGAATTTATCATTTTATTTTTAATATAGCGCTTAATTAAAAGAAAATTATATTTTATAATCCACGTCTGTAAACAAATCAGTCTTACTAACAAAACAGTAAATAAAGATGAGTATCTTTGGGACAGAAAATTCTGACTTATTTAGAGGAAATACTAGTAACCAAAATAACTAAGCATGCAACTAATTTTAGCATGAAGATTTTGAATGAGTTTTTACAAGTGCGCTGTGTTACCACCATTATTTTCAGGAAAAAATCAAATGGATTGCCGCATAAATAATAACAACAGTCAGCATAATAATAACAATAGTGTTGCATTATGCATGTACTAAAAGGGTTTGACACATAGTGCACTCGCCTCCGGCTCGTGCACCATGTGTCCACTATTATATAATATGATATACCAAAAGATGCACATATATAAATCTAATTAAAATTGAAATTGTCATTTTATAATGTTTAATTGAATTTATTTTATAGATGTTGAAAACCTAGAACATAGGGTGTGTTGCCACGTCACATTTTAAGGTGTATTTTTATTGCAATGAAAAAGACCATCACAGTCAAAAAGCATCTAAAATGCGCCTAGTCGGACAATATTCTAAAACACAAAATTTCCCTCAGTTTCTAGTTGTTAGTTGAAAATTAAATGGCCTCATTTATAATTTTGATCATAAACATAGTTGTTTTACCCTGATGCATTGAACAAAGGAATTGTCGAAATGAAAAAAAAATGTTGTGTCGATCTGTAATGCATTTTTGCTTCAAAATGAGGAAATCGCCAATAGAGACAGTTATGTTGACTAATCAGACTCACAGAGGAACAAATGTAGATAAGAGACTTGTTTATAGATGGTTTCCGAAATTTTGGGTGTGTGATGGGTCATTGAATGACCAGCGGAGGACAAGAAAAATTGAAAGATGGCAGGTCGCATGGAAACTTCAATGGCACCTGATGATGTCAAAAATACAGACATTTAGCGAACATGTAAAATTTTAAGTTTGCCTTATGCTACTGCTCAAAGAATATTGACAGAGGTCTTAATTATAAAAATAGTGAGTGTACGATGGGTACCAAGAATTTTAAAAGAAATTTGAATTTGTGAACGTGTTTGTAAATCTCAAATATTTTAAGTGAAATGAAAGAGAAACGTTGAAATGTATGACGGTGAGTATCTGTCATATGGTGTTATTTAGGCGCGATGACTACCATAATCGCACCTTCTGTATTATCAGATATTTGGAAAAAGTATAAATCATATTGAATTGAAATTTAAGGTCTGATCTGAAATAAATGTAGCTTCCATCAATTATAATTTTAATGTTTTACGTTTACCAGCAATTTTATTGAAACTGTGACATTACTTTTGGATCAACCCTTGCATAATAATTGTACCTTGCAAAACATTCACAAAGCCAATTAATAAATAGCCAAAAATTTTTTTTTTAAAATGTGTATACTCATAACCTAAAATTCTGTAAATCATTCATATTTATGGTGAATATTTTGTATATAAGATGTTTCTTTACCACATACCAATCAATATATGAATGTATATTACAGCAAAGGTAGTTTGAGGCCTTTTTGATTCAAAGCTTGAATCTCAGTGATTTTCATATGAATATATACAATGTACATGTATATAATTATTTGTTAATGATATTAAAATAGGATTATCAGAATCACCAGATAAGTGGGCATGCCTTTCTGATTCTGGGAAGCTTTTATAGCTATCTAATTTAAATCTCTGTTCTCTTAGGAAGTAATCTAAATGGAATATTTACTTGTTTAATGGATTCTGGATAAAATGAAAATTTATCTAAAGTTGGAATTCCAGGTGTTCTTGCAAATTTGAACACTTTCATCACTCAGTAAAAATGTCTGGCTTTTATATAAATTGTGTTGTTAGTATTTCATGTTCTTTCCATTCTGCAGTCTAGATGGACAGATCAGGTGAGCTAGAGGTACCACAGGACAGACTTGTAGATGAGGTGGACAGAATGTGAGACATGATGAAGGGAGATGGCAAAAGAAGTCCCTCACCAGCCAGTGTAGAGGTAGGTACAGATTCAGTTCATGGTGTAAAGTACTGGTGTAAAATTTTTTGATCCAAAGGTTTTTGTCTTTTTCATGCGTGGTAAACTTCCAGAGTTCATATTTGAAATGAAGAAGAATGAATTTCTGGGTGGTTTAGTTCTTGTTAGGTGGTTGAATTTCCAGTGTGAAAGCCACTCTTATACATTGTGTCTCTGTACTCTATCAGCAAGATTTAGGAATTAATTTTCAATGCATTCAGACATATTATTAGCTCACCTGAGCCAAAGGCTCAAGTGAGCTTTTCTGATCAAAATTTGCCCGTTGTCTGTCGTCGTTGTCGTTGTCGTCGTCGTTGTTGTTGTAAACTTTTCACATTTTGATCTTCTTCTCAAGAACCACTGGGCCAAATTCAATCAAACTTGCTACAAAGTATCCTTGCCAGTTGGGTAAAGGGGATTCAAGTTTGTTCAAATGAAGGGCCACGCCCTTTTCCAAGGGGAGCCAAGGGGAGATAATTATGAATTAGAGAAAAATTAATGGCATTTTTAAAAAATCTTCTTCTCAAGAACCACTGGGCCAGGAAATAAACTCATGTGGAATCATCCTCAGGTAGTGTAGATTCAAGTTTGTTCAAAACATGACCCCCGGGGGTAGGGTGGGGCCAAAATGGCCGATCAAAGTTTCACATAGGAATATGTAGGGAAAATCTTTAAAAATCTTCTTCTCAAGAACCACTGGGCCAGGAAAGATGAAACTCATGTGGAATCATCCTCAGGTAGTGTAGATTCAAGTTTGTTCAAATCATGACCCCCGGGGGCAGGGTGGGGCCAAAATGGCCGATCAAAGTTTTACATAGGAATATGTAGGAAAAATCTTTAAAAATCTTCTTCTCAAGAACCACTGGGCCAGGAAAGATGAAACTCATGTAGAATCATCCTCAGGTAGTGTAGATTCAAGTTTGTTCAAATCATGACCCCCAGGGGAAGGGTGGGGCCATATGGCTGATAAAAGTTTTACATAGGAATATATAGGGAAACCTTCTAAAATCTTCTTTTCAAGTACTTCAAAGCCATGCTTAGTGATATTTATAGGGAATCAACCTCAGGTAGTATAGGTTCTAGTTTGTTCAAATCATGACCCCCTGGGGGCTAAAATTCAAGCCCCCCCCCCCCACCAACCTCAGTAGGCTTTCAATTCTGATCTGATATGTGTTTTTTCCATAGCCAATTCCTCAGGTGAGCGATGTGGCCCCTGGGCCTCTTGTTAATAAGTTATTTAGAAGATGGATGTAGACAACAGGTAAGTAATCCATACATAAGATCACAAACATGACATGGATCTTCCTCAGGTTGACACATCAGCAAGCTATAGGGAAATTGTGAGAATGTTTGTCTAACATATTGGAATCTGCTTCTTAATTTTGTGTAATGTATGGGTGTATTCAACATTTGCTCTACAATCTTAGAACTTGTGCGCTTAAAACGTTTGACAAACACATTATGCATGTTCATAACTTACAGATAGGATACTCATTGAAAAGCAATGATAAGTAATATTGATATGCAGGCATCCTCAAGTAGTGCAGATTTAGGTTTGTTCAAATCATGGCTTTTGAGAGAAGATGGGGTCCAGTGAGGGAACAAGGTTTTACTGTAAGCTTCCTCAGCACCCTGTCAAATGCCAATCAGCTTACAGTGTTTCCATCCCGTGTAAATTCAATCAATTAAATTTTATCAACATCAAGACATGACATATAAAAAAAAGGGGGGGGGGTCAGTAAATAACATAATTTACTTCACATCCTTGTAAATCATAACCAAGTTCCATTTCTCGTTTCAAATATTTCATTTAATAAAGACTTCAATGAAATAAATCAAAACAGTTAGTACATCTATATGTGTCTAAGTCCTAGCTTAACATCTCTGGCCTAATAAAATACAGTGGATTGCGGTAATGCGGTGGAGAAATTATACCTACTTAATTTGTATTAGTTTACATTATTTTCTTATACCTAAGTCGATAGTAATTTACAGTCAGTGATGTGATGACGTAATATGATCTGATCGTTATGATCGTTGTGTTGAAACTGGCGTTGGCTGCTCATATATATAACCTTCTATAATGGTCACATGATCACAACAAACCAATGAATAATTGTCCTTTCTGGAGCCTCTCAGAACTACTTTACCTACATATTGTATAATACAAAGAAAATAACATCGCTCAAAATGTCCTTTCTACATGTAAAGTAGGAGCTATAAATTCTATTGATATACATGATAAAATAAGTTCAACAAACAATCTGTAATAAAACGGACACACACACACAATCCTCGGCGTAGTAATACCGGACAATAATGTACACACATAAGTATTACACTACACATTCAAGTTCCAAAACATTTCGTCAAATAAAACATAATCAAATGACAATGCTGCAATAAAATAACATTTAACTATCAATTATAAATATTTGAGGACACGGACAGTGTTATTTCGATCGTATCAATTGTAAAACAACAATGTTTATGTCACATGACTATTTTCTTCAGGATGAACCAATTTACAACACGTGATAATGCTGAAATAAGTAAGTAAATTACAGTCGTAACATGGTAGATAATGATGAAAAACTGACATACAACATCTCAGTATAACTGTCCCTTACTGTCTGTTCAACAATATCTCGCTAGATCGTCTAGTAATACAAAAACAACATTTGTTTACATTACAGTGTCGAAGTGCAATGTGTATTGCATCAATAATTCAAGTAAACAAAAAGATAATGAAATAACAGGAGCAATAAAACATTTCTAGTAAATTTACAACTGGATGCTACTTTACTTCACTAAAAAACACTCCACCATCAGCCTGTCAGTGCAATTAATATGCAAAATTCTAAAGTCCAACCCCCATGCATATTACATTACAATGGAATAATGTATGGAGGAGAAATTCTTCACAAATCATTTAAACATCAAGGACATGATTAATCAGTAAATAACATAACAATTAAAGCTATGGTGGTTCATTGAAACATCAGCTAAGTCCATATGTCTGCAAACATTTTATCCTCTAATTCAGAATGTCCTCAGATGATGGCACAATATAAGGTGAACAGTCATCTTTTTACATTGTTCAAGCTTCCATCTACTTTCTTTTCCTAGCCACAACCAGGTTGATGCCTTCTTGGCTGCTATTTCTATACTGCTGTTTATTTTCTTTCTCATACTTCCACTCATTCCTAATGTTGCCATTAGCCTCCAACATATGCTCCACTCATTCCTAATGTTGCCATTAGCCTCCAACATAATGCTCCTGGCAAAACTCATGTACCCCCCTACCCTCCATCTCCCACCAGGGAAGCAATTCATCATGATTTGAATACATGTATTTGCATTCATGGGCCTCTTGATATAAAATCTCCCTTGGCACAGTCAGCTCTATCAACATCGGTTTCATCATGCTTTTAGATATGCGTAAATTGTCTGGCTGCTGGGTAGTCGCTACAATTGTTTGGAAAATTAGCTTTTTTTCTCAAGGTTGACTTGTAGCTTGTAGTGTTAGTATGCCATCTTAAGATTTTATGGTGGTCTTAGTTGGTTGCTCCTACCCCTGACAAAATTGATGAAAGACATTGCTGATCAAAGTGTTTATAGTCCTTCTTCCCCACTGTCTGCAGTGTTTGGGCAAGGCTTCAAATACCTTGCCTGTACCTTCCCTGAGAAATGATCACCTTGCAAGTGATAATATGTGCTTAAGGTTTGGCTAGTTTCTGGTACAAACATTTAGTCTTCTGACATTGGGTACATGTATTCTCTTTCTATTTTAATTCCCTGACACTGCTTTGATACATCTTGCCTCTTCCTCCTCTTTTCATATCTCCTGATAGACTAATTTCCTTTAACCTCTTGCTGATGGCCACACCCTTCTGCTTCTGACACTGCTGCATTGCTTTCCACTTTTGTCCTGATTGTACGGGGCTCCAGCTTCTCTTCATTTTGACTGAATGGAGAATGAGGCTCAACTTTCCCATTTTTTGAAAACCTCTCCCACTTATATGAAAAATAAATACAGTTTGGTGGTTTTGCTGTAAAACAATCAGTTTGGGTAGGAATTTTGCTGGAAAACCCTTGCCTTAAATTTCTACAGTAAGCCTGTCTCTGTTGTCAATGTTAACCAGCCTCTCTGTTGTCTCCTGTTCTAGCCATCTTCAGTTGTTGACTTGTTTTAGTGTGACATCGTAGTATTTGTCTTGGCTTTTGAATGTGGTTGTCTTTGATTGATGGTACCTCTCTGCCCTGCATATTGTATAAGTATCCTCTGGTAATCTGTTCCTTTTTACAACCAAAGGCTTGAATTTCATTCAGGTCCATGGGGCTTTTTCCTCCTTGGTCCTTGGGTTTAATTACCCACCTTTTTCTTTTCCTGTGTTGCTGCCAGATGTGTGTCTTGGTCTTTGGTTCTCTGCTCTCTCTTCTTCCTGCCTCTATTAAAAGATTCATTGCCACAACAAAATGGACTGCAAATGAGGTACATCCTGTGCCTTTCTCAGTTGCTTCCATGATGTTATGTTATGTCCCACCCTTAATCTTAGACTGATTGTTGATTGATTGTATGTTGTTTTATGTCCCTCTCTACAATTTTTCACTCATATGGAGACGCCCTCACTTGCCAGTGGAGAGCTACAAATTTTGTCCTATAATCGGCACTGAGGGCCATAGAGCAGTGAGGGATCTTTTTTGAGCCAGCACCTACTGCGACACTGGACCTGGGTTTATCTTGTCTGATCCAAAGGACTGGTCTCTATGTCCTACAATGGGATTTGTACCCGCGACGGAAGGATCAACTCCTTACTTTGTGACTAGAGTAAAAGCTCTAACCACTGCACCATGCGGACAACTCTTAGATTGATCCTTTCAAGGAAATCTTTTAATATCTTTATGTAGTGTTCAAGTGGTGTTTCGATAAGCTTATATGGAAGCGTACTTTTGGAATTTGCCAGATTCAACCTGACAAC